GTGAAGGTAAGAGCAGATATATATATATATATATAAACAAACTGGTTTTTTGTGCATTAGTTCTAGGCAGAGGTAGCGTGAAGGTAAGAGCAGAGGCTTGTCTTGTATTAAAACCATGTCTGTTAGAGGTGGGTTATAACTGTGAGAACAGGTCAAAAGCTTTATGTAATATCCAAATTTTATGTAAAAAGACAAGAAGACATTATATGACACTATAATCAACTTTAAAGCATCATAGACTCCTATGCATGAAATCCACACTGGTGCTAAAAATCACAACCAAGTGCTAATCTGGAAGCTTTGTTTTGAACGATTTGTAATTTATCTAGATCTTTTTTTAAGCCGTTGGATCATACATCAGGACAGTAGTCAAGATGACATAGAACTAAAGACTATAGTAATTTTCTTATTGCAGACATAAAATGGGAATTACACCAAATAATAGCAATTTTTCTACTCATCTTAGTCAACATCTTATGAATATGTGCGGACCATGGTACTGTTTGATAAATTATCAATGCCAACAGTTAGAATTTTTTAACATGTTAATTTTTTTTTTTTAAGAAATATCTAACATTGGAGTTTGTCTGATAAAATATTTAGAGCCCAGTATTTTACATATTTGACACATTAAGTTTTATAATGTTCTCAGTTGCCACTCATAAACATAGTTCCTAATGTTACATCTCATTGACCTCATCCAAACTACCAGAAGATATAGATATTGTTGTGTCATCTGCATATACAAGAGTAGATGATTTACTCGACGGATACCACATCATTGGTCCTTTAACAGCTATGCTCCAAGACTACAAGTTACACAAGAATTGTAGATTTGTTTGGTTTTATTATTTTTTCCATTGTTGTTTTGAAGGGTTAGAAAAACGAAGTTGTATGAGGCTGAAGAGACGTACCGAGCAGATGTAGACTCCTTGGTGGACATCTCCAAACTGACCCTCCCCGATGCAGCATCCCAACTCTATTCGATCCCTCTGGATCTCATAATCTCGGGCTGTACACATGACAGACAGACATTTACACACAAACCGATACGGACACACAAATGAGAAGAAAAAAAACAGGAGCACACTGATATCTATAAGTCTTGCACTTTCCAAGCTTGTTAGAGCTCTTTACAGTGTACCCRTTTTATGACTGCATCATCGGCTAAACAAACTTTCAGCTAAATTATTAGAATAATTGTTTATCCACAACTCCATGCAATTTTGAACGAGTGTGACTCAGTTTTGATTTCTTCCTCTAACAAGCTTGGTTTTATTGCAATCACAGCATGCAACGACAGCATCAGCAAACCACAGCAAAACCACGTAACACAGACAAATGGCCAATAACACTCGGTGTATAAATAAACATAGTCACTACGTTGAGTCAAATGTTGAATGGATAAAGTCAGGTGGATTAAAAAGAGTGAATCATCTCTGTGGCAACATTCACAGATTAAAAAAAAGACCTGTGTTACAATTCAATAACAATAATGTTGGTTATTATTCTTTTAGCTTCATGCCCATCAGAAATTTTCAGTATTTGCATTTCCTTCTAAAAAGCAGAAATCAAAGGGTCTGTGAAACACAGGCTGTTGAAAGCTGGTGGTTTGCTCTGCCTGGCAGGCATTACACCAACGCCCTGACTTTGTCCATTAAGTGATGAATACAGCAAAAAGCAGAAAACATCTATTTGTAGAAAAAAACCTTTAACATTTTCACACTTTAAAATAATCCTGCTGTCTAAATGTCCAGCACATTCCTTTCAGAACCATCTATCAGGCAGTAAAAATTCTAAAGTGAAGATGGTGGAAAGTTGGAAATATGTTGCAATACACGGTAATAAAATTCAACATGTTCACATAAATATAAAACGTTTGTGTGCTTTCTCTAAATGTCATACTTGTTATCTGTATTTTAATAAACTTCACTGTTCTGATTAAAATATTAAATACAACCACTATTTTTCTTTGTGTTTAACTGTTTAAATGATATAAATACTGTACCTGTAACTATCTAAAACCTTCTTACTTTAGGGTAGGAACATGCACTGAGTCACCTTGGCTGGTTAGATTATATTAAAACTGAAATATCAAATAAAAGCTTCAGTTCTGAATCTAGCGTCAGTTCAGCGAGGACTGACAGGACACCAAACATTGGAGAGGGATCAGGGGGCAAAATAACAGGAGACAGTTATAGGAAAATATCCAAAATGTACTTTTACAGTCACAGGCAAACATACAAAGGGTCACAACAATCACCAAATCAAAGTGTCGTCACTTCCTTTACCTTGATCTAGTCCATAGTATTCTGGGAAAAGGGGTTAGTGATAAAAGACAGAAATAACTAGTTTTGAGTACAGAGAGCCACAGGTTGTTAATGTTGTCTTTAATATTTATATTAATAAAGTGTCAAAATTAAGACGACTGCATGTTGAAGACTTTTTTTTATTTGTACATTTTCTGCTCAAAAATATGTAAAGGATTTAAGAAATAAAAATGTGTAAAAGAAGTGCACCCTTTTGGTTCCCTCTCACTTAAACAGTTGGTAAAATGTCTTTTACAGTGCCAGCTAAGCCCATGTTTAGGATGTTCTAAATTGAAAACAGATAACAACAAAGCGCAAACTCAGACCAACAGACTTTATTTATTATTTGAACACTTTTTTTTGTTGTACAGGTATTTGTTTGTTTCTCTGGACTGAGCTAACAGTTTTAATTCATAAATATTCAAAAAGCCCAGCCATGTTTTGATTGTGTTGACAACGTCCAGATAATGTGCTGTGACAGCTTTAGTTAGCATTTTGACCATAAATTGGTAAAATATTCTAACCTAACATGCATATTAAAACAATAGTTCAGATATTTGAAAGTAAAAAATTGATAGTTTATAAATAATTAATAACAGCTCTTTGAACAACCTCTGGGTGGAGAAATTTAAACCCAATGTTGAAAAGGAAGAACACGAAGTAACACTGAAGATAAGCCCCTGCATGGCATGTACCACCAGTAGATTGAGGGAGTGGCCAGTGGACTGAAGGACGGAGCAGAGACAMTAATCATGGCAACACAAGWGCAATAGAGGCCGGGGTCTACCGTACAAGAYGGTGCAAGATGCAGGCAGGCAAAGAATATGTGGAATGGCAAACCCAAGTGGCTGGAGGTCCCAGAGTCAAAGTGGGAGGCTCCATCAAAGATAGCGGAAGAATAGAAGGGCTGAGATACTTTTGACTTCCTGATCCAGACCGACAAACAAGGTGATGGCTAACCAACTGGACACTCTGGTGGTCGACAAGCAAGAGAAGAAGGCTGTGGTGGTAGATGAAATRATCCCAAGTGACTGTAACATTAGGGAGAAGGAGCACGAGAAGCTCGAGAAATACCAAGAGGCTGAAAGAGGAGATAGAGATGTTGTGGAGAAAAATGTGTGTAGTCCCAGWGGTCATCGGTACTGTGACCCCCAAACTGGAAGACAAAGATACTGAACAAAAACCTCAGGGTCCCAGTCTTCTGGTAAAGGACCTGAATTTGATGTGAAGTGGAACCACCCAAATGGAAGAAAAGGGTGAGCTGTGTGGGTTTTTGTGTATATGTATACAGTATATATACAGTATTTAGCGTAAGGAAATTGGGCTTTGGTCGATTATGTCTTTGTGGTAACAATGCTTCTTGGCAATAAATCTTATATCAGGCACCTGATGTGCAGCACCTGGGGGTACCAGAACAGCAGCAGAATAAGCTRTTTGGCAGAGAAGATTTGGCAATTTTTTCATGTGAACAAACCACATACTCTTCCCTACCGCTCATCCCACAAATACCTGTTCCTTACAAATGTGGCACCATTTAAAAAGGGAAATTACCAGCTTTCCAATGGTATAAGATTTATCACCAAGAAGCATTGTTTCAATAATCTACTAAACACAAATTTACTTACTTTTTGTGYCAAGTTTACATTATTTCTCTAAACTGAGGCTGCTTAAAGATACATCTACAGTAAGTAAAATAGTAAATGTCCATAGCGTTTCCACAGAAACACTTTAAAAGATCTGAAATATCTTTTAACGCAATATCAACTGTCTGATCTGCCTCCTMATGCTGGCCTCTCTTACATAACTGATATTTTATCCTTTAAAAAAACTGTTTTTAATTTAAACTGTGACTAAACATGAATTAGAAGAGAAGAGCCGACTAAAAAGGCTTGTATTTGAAACTGTCAAAAGTAATTCAGACAATGAGCAGTTAATGTCTCAACGGTATGAGGAAGCTGTGATTCTTGCCTAATCTTGTGTCTGTTCACCAGAATAAATATAGCCTGCAGAGCTAATAATGTGTGGCTTCCTCCTCTAAATCAGTGTACAACATGTGAATCTGGAAAATGTACCGTAGTTTTATTCAGAGGTTCCTCGTCCTTCTAAGCAGTTGTCTAATAAGGGCTCAAATTGAATGTCTGTTAAATTAAATAATTTACAAGCAAACTTTGAATTATTACTGGGGTTAAAACTGTCTTGCATGGATCTACTTTATCTAAAATACATCACTTATATTGATATTACGAAAGTAACCACAATCTAAAACAAGAGTAAAACAAATCAGAGTGAAATCACTTATTCCTTGTGTTTCAACAGAAGAGTACCTTCACTGTGCAGCTAGCTGGTTTTGGCTGACATAAAGCTCCCAGATGCACAATCTACAGTATTTATCTCAGCAGTCTTCTCTACGTGTCATAACAACCTTTCTACCTGCACACACTCATCCGACGCTGGTATGAATGCACATTATGCAAYAGAACTCCACTGATCAGCTGAGACAGAAACACTGACACGCCTGGCATTTTTCGCAGCACTTGACTGTAAATGTGTAAACTTACTCGAAGGCATGGTGTAGGTGTCCTCCTCATCTATGATCTCAGCATAGTCATCCGTTTCTGCAAAGACCGAGAACGATCAAGAAAAAAGAGCATAGAAATGTTATCTCTTAGTTGTTTATCAAAAATAAATAAAATAARAACATCTTTGACAGCACAAACCAGAGACACACAAAGAAGTTGTAGCTTACAAAATTGTATCTTTACACCTGTTAACATAAATCATAAATCACTGCACGCAACAACAACAAAAAAGTTTAAAGGCTGCAAAAAACAACAAAAAACACAATATTGTCATAGTGAATACCTTTCCAAAAGACTGTAACCATAACCGAATCCAAACACGAACACAACAATGATAATGTTCATGCAGTGCTACACAGATGCACACAAAGAATGACTCCAAGGCTGTACAATAACAATGGAAATGAACAGAGATACAGGCAGGAAGAAAGGGGAGGGATGGAAAAGGTTTTKTCCCTCCACATAGAAGCGAACTAAAGAATAACAGCCTTATGAGTCATAGAAAAAAACTGACAGATACCGTGCACRTGTAGCGTATGCCAACCGCAAAAATATTTCATTGTCACTAACTAAAAACACTTAAATGAGAAAATGAGGTTTACCATCACCACTAATGTGACCTGCAGAAGAAATATGCAGCATGAAAAATAGTAGAGAGGGGGAAAAAAAGTGGAAAGAAATATTAGTTTTGTCCTTGATGTGTGAAAAATAGAAAGGGTCMCATATGTTATTTAGCAGCTGGCTAAAGTTTTGAAGGAGTTTTCACTTCAAATTGTAAATGTGAGGCAGTCAGAGGTCAACAGGCAGGCAGAGACAGTAACAGTGACTAAAGCTCTCCACAGGGACATCTGGCGAGACAAGAGCTCTCCACACACAGATGAGGCTTTATAGGAGAAAATGCACTCAAATATCTATGAACTCTTTATTCAACTTCCAGCGCACGAGGTCSTTCAGAGCAGGGGACACAGAAGCAGATTTATACGTACCTGACACACAAACGGCTCGGGTTCGAACTCCATCCATGCGTTTTTCCATCCGCTTCTCATGATTCGAAACTCTGCAGCCGAGACACATAAAAACAGAGGTGTCAAGTAATTACAAATACTCTGTTACCTTACTTAGGCAGGCATTTTGGCTGTCCATACTTTACTGGAGTAACAACTTTTCAGCCATTTTTTTTACATTTCAAAAAAGAATTTTTTTAACTTCTGCATTTCAGATTGTAATCCTAAAAAACTAAACAATAAATAAATAAATAAATAAATAAATAAATACTGTCCAGACATGTGGTGCCTCCTAGATAGAGTTGAATTGATTGTGGTTGGATGAGAGGTATAAATATCTACTAGTCTGACACCCTATTGGTTTGTTTGATCCATCACACCTGCACGTGACACTAATCATGTCACACTCCAGCAGGACAGAGATGTATGTAGCCTAACAKGAAGATGGCATTCTAAATGTTTCAACATTAACATTTTAATATAACATTATTGTCATTGCTGCCTTTACAAAAATGTTTTTTGGGAGGTGGGGTTGAGCACTATAGGTTCATGTGGTACCGTCCAAGCTTTTGCCCTTAGTGGCTTTTTTTTCTTTACGTTGTTTTTGTTTTTATATTTTAGGTACTGTTTTTTAACCTTGAGTAAAACGCTTGAGTTGATACTTCTACTTTTAAACAAGCTTTACTTGTATCTATACTTCTACTTGAGTAATGACTGTGAATACTTTTGACACCTCTGCTTAAACCGCGCGTTTCACATTAAACTTCAACATAGACTGTAACAAAGCAGAAAAAGGGAAGCTCCACCCACATGCTGTTATGTTTGTGGTGTAACGGAGCTAAAATTAGACCAGTTTGAAGCCAAATATATATATATGGATAAAATAAGTCAACTAAAGCACACTGTTTTAGTATCAATTTCCAGACATTTGATAACCTCTAGGAAATGAGAACAAAATGAAACATATTTTAAATGGAAATATGTAAAAACTTTATTCTCTTCTCCAAAGTTACTAAAAATGATCARTTCTTCTGTTCCCCAAAACAATAATCAGTTTACCTATTATTCTTCATATAAATTATGTAGCAATTATAAATTGATAAATGACTTTTCTAGACAGAATAAGTTTACTTACTTTGGTAAAGATGGAAGTGCTCGATCACCTTCTGCAGAAACAAAAGTGAGTTCATGAACTGAGMAATGTTAGATATATAAATACTATATATAAATATTGTTTGGCATCCTTCAGAAGGTGTCCTATGACCTATTATGGTCAAAGGTTTTCAATTGTGAGTTGCGCCGACACATACAGAACTGAATGGAAGAAACACAACGGCTGTAACTTACCTTTGTGAACTCGAATGATGAAGGAGTGACTAACTGAGAAGACGAGCCGACAGTAACCATCGATCAAGTCCGCCATGTTTTCTGCAGTAGTCAGTGATGCTGTAGTGACAGTGAGGGGCTGTGTACACACACACACACACATACACACACACACACACACAACACAGGGAATCAGTGTCAAAGCAGGACGGGGAGTTGCTTCACCGTGACAGAACGAGAGCTTTCCTTGAAGTAACGTCCAAAACCACAGACAGCTCTCACACACACTGTTTTCTGAGTACACACCCCTACAACAACACTGTTGCAAGATGCACACATGCAGTGACCAGCTGCAAAACACACACACACACACACACATACACAAACACAACACACACTCAATAGGAAAAGAAAAAAGACGCATTTATAATCTTAGTTTTAATTTTCACAATTTTAACTGAGCTGTCCAGTGTGGTGCTTATACAYAAAGGATTATTTTGCTCTTTAAGGACTGAAAAATGCTGTACAGGTACAGGTTATCATTAAAAGGGAAAAATACACTTTTTTGAGCTTTATATCATGTTATAATCTAATTCCCTCATCAAAAACCAACCCAGAGTGTTGCTTTGACTCATTCATGCATGTTTGAGAAATCCCTGTGGTAGCCATGTGGMGCTGGTACAAAGCACCGCCTATTTGTGCATAGCTCCTCCCTGGAGCTCAGTCCCCAGCCGAGCTCCCGTCCCACAGAAT